CAATATACAGGTCGGGCAGGGAAAAAAAATAAAATAAAAATCAGTGTACCAGAATTTATTCAAATTTAACTCACGAAAGGCTTATTGTATGGAGTGAATTCTTGTGGTTAAGGGTCCTGGGAGGAGGAATCCTCCAGCAACTTGTAGGCATATTTGTGCGCCACAGCGTTTTAGATCTTTGTTTTAATGATTTATGCATGCGTGAACCGTGGATTTGCTGTCTTGTCTGCTCCAGAGGGGCAAAGGAATTCTTGAAAGATGAAAACTAAAGCCTCTTCGATTATTCAGATGAGGGAAGAAAACGCCCACACTTTGACTGTGAGGAACTTCCTTGCAGCAAGCCCTAATCCATGTGCTGTACTCTATCAACTGCAGGGAATTCGAACGTTGGGTAATAACAGCTGTTGGGGTGGTAAAGTCCAGCTTCCGTATTAAACTAAACACAAACCGGCCGATATTTGGTCATTAATGCACGTGTGTGAACCAGGGGGTGTAAATAACCAGAAAAGGGTCATATTTTAGATAAGACTCTCGTCTGGTCATTCACAGGCCAGAGTGAGACATTTACCCCAGCACTCTCCAGCCTCCAGCGGGTGTGGTTGACCACCGTCACGGCGCAGACTCGAATTCTGTTGGCATTTCTTATCATCTGAGAGACTGAAGTATTTATCAGACTGACCCCAGGCCGGATGGGTGGGTGTACATCTGAAGAGAAATTATAACAACTTTTTTGTTTCGAACTATGGGGAAAAGTTTGATTTAGTTTTAAGCTCTAGGGCGTTAGTTTGTAAAATATAGCATTCATTACACTCTAAGAACTGTGTGGGGCAATTAGCAATCTAGCGACTACATTTCAGACATCTATAAAAACATCAAGTATCCAATATCTGAAATTAATGTTCAATCGCCATCAACTCTAAACGTGTCATTAATTTAAACATGTTTACATGCTGTAAAGAAGGTGTTTGAAAAGTGTTTATTTTAATACCAAACACAGCTTTCGCAATGTGCGCTTTCCCTGAGACTACAAGAACTTGGAAACCAGGCATTAATTAACAAAACTATATCGAAACAAGCCATTCCACCAACAAAGAGTGGACTTTGAAATCACACATTCCCGCTGGTCAGTTTGGAAGAAGAAACACTATGATCGTTTCCTCCAATTGACGTCCTTTTCGTTTGCAGTTGATAATGTGAGACGGTATTTGTCAAGTCAGTCTAGTCAATCGAGGCAGACATGTCAGTCAATGAACCACAATCGTCGGTCAGTGAGTCAGTTGATCCGTTGATCGATAGGTCGATCAGTCAGTCCCTCGGTTAATTGTTCCATTTGTCGGCCAGTAAAGCTTGATCGGTTCAACAGTCAGTTGAGTGGTCAGTCAACGGTCGGTCGCCGTTTGTCGGTTGTTCCATCAGTCGGTCGGCAGATATTTGTCAACCTCGATCGATCAGTCAGTAAATGTAGAGTTCCGTTTTGTCCGAAAACTTACGTTGAGGATTTCCATTACTTCGAAGTGAACGATGAATATCTTGAAAATAATCTGTACAAATGAAGAAAATTCAGTTTGAAAACGAGTCTGATTCAAAACTGCGACTGAATTTATGTTGTTTTCTGTACAAGCAGCAGCCAGCATTTCTGTTAAGGTAATTGGCCTATGTGTTTTTCAAACTTAACCACTGATTAAATATTAATTGTGCTTTCATTGTTTCAACACGGAGTCATTCGTCCTCTTTATCGTGGTATCTTACAGGGGCAGATCCAACATTTTGGTGCACGGGGTATTGTATTTGTTGCCATTTTTGAAGCAGTTACAGACTTTTTGATTCGTTCAGTGGCGTATCGGGGGGGGGACTCCCCCCGACGGAGATATATATGCAACCTTACGTATGAAACCAAACCGCGGTGGTTGTGTTTGTATTGCGCATGCCCAATGTGTATTAGACTCGCGTTGCAGCGTTCATCGGTATATCAACAGTAAAAACACCGTCAACCTGTACTGTGTAAATTGCGGTAGTCAAGCGGTTACAACATAATGGTTTGTGATGCTTGGGGTATGGGTTCGAATCGTATAACGTATACAAGCAAAATAAGACACCTGCATGGTTTGTGCTTATCAAGGGGTCTTCCAACCTGAAGAAGCCCCTTCCCCCCCAAAAATACATATGGCAGGGGGGGTTGACCCCCACCTCTTGGATCTCCGCCCGATCAAAACTTATTTTACACAAGTCCTTATTGTGCAGCTGGCTTAACACACGTCTGTTATCAAAGCCATAGGCACAGTGCTAGACAAGGCACATACACTTAGCCATGCCAGTACTCAGCTGTTTATCTACAAATGTTTCTCTATAGAGAAATTTCATATTAGCACTGTTTGCGCATATCTGCATCGAAACCGAGGCTCTCTGTGTTGAACTCAGTCGCGCGCGCCCGCGGAGTCGACACAGTACATGGAGTATCCGGTTCTTAAGTGTGATGCCACTTCAGTTTGAACCATGCCCACTGCACATGCAGATACACGACCATCGCAGGTACGTCAGTTCGCGGAAAATTGCCGTTATTTTTTCGATTGATTTGACATGTGGAGTCATCCTGAAAGACTCTTCCACAAAAATTTGCAGCCTGAAAAGTCTGAATTTAACATAATATATGTATTTTGTGTTTTTAACTCCTTACTTTCAAGCATCTGATAGTATTTAGAATTGAAGCTGACACATACAGCTCGTTTTCAAACGCGGAAGTGCGCAGATCGACGCTAAAAGCTTCGTATTGGGATCCATCTATGGACAGCTCTCATTATCTTGCGTAACATTCGTATGGGTAGCCATAATTCGAAGAAATAAAAGCAGGGGTCAGATTCAAGTTTTAAAGAAGGTCTCGATTTCATTTATTATTTAGTACCAGTGTTATCATTTGGTGCTTTTGGTAGATTCATGGGATCCGGTGAATTATTCGTCAGCTTTTTCACCGACTGCCAGCTATAGTTTTATCAGCCATTGGTGGTCAAAAGTACGACTGTCTGTGCCAAAGAAAAGGCAGACGCTGCACCCAGTGATTGGGCATCAATAATCCATTGTATTAAATACTACAAATACAGTCCAACCTCATTAATAAGAGGACGTTCGGACTTTGTCAATTAGCATATCACAATAGAAACTCTGGCATTGTACAGGTGCAAAGAAAACAGCAAAGAACACCGGATTGGGATCTTTAATGTCCTTGTAAGAGAATCTTTCATTAACAGTGATCAACGTCAACAAAAAAACGTAACTGTTTCCTCGTATTCGTGTAAATGTATAGATGATCTTTTTTAATTTCACAAAGAATGGATCCATTGTAGTTCTCGGCTCAATGTGCAGGGTGTGTCACTTGAATGACGGGGACCTTGAAGAAATGTCATGCTGATCATCGCTCTTTTATGTGAACATAATCTTCAAAATCTTACCTTCATTGTCTTGAACTTGAACCGGCATTGCAAGTTCGACTTCTGCGAACAAGAATGATACACTTTATACTAAAACCACTGCAAATGTCACAAAGTACGCTTACCACGGTGCCTGAGGCGTCATTTCTCGGTATGTCATGATAGAAAACCCAAAATGGTATCACTGAGTCGTTCTCCGTGATGGCATCCATGATGCTTATCAGTAATTTGAGTGGAGGTTGTCTAGATCGCAGTCGATATATTGACGTGACTAGTTTTGGTTTGGAAGAGGAAATTCTGAAGCGTCCCAAATTTTGTCCCATGTTTTCATGCATTCGCCCCTCAGGAACCCATATTGATATTGCTATTAGGCAAAAAAAGCAGTCTCTGGTTTCTGGTCACTGCGCGCGTCGCCGTAGACCTGCGCGTTGGCAAAATACTTTTTTTTTATTTTGCATAAAACGATTTCTAAAAGCCGCCAACGTTACCTGATCGGCAGGAATTCTGCTACCGCGTAATTTTAACGTGTTTTTAATAGGTGGGGTTGGGTAATATGTACGGTGAAAGAATCCCCCTAGGCCTCCATGCGTTTCAGTCGGGCACTCTTATCAGATGACGTCATTTGTGTTTCTTTACACGAAGGCCGTGTCCGAATCAGTTGGCGTCGGCTTGATATCATGCATGATTCTATGGGAACTAGCCGTGGATGCTGCCAAATACTCAGTGTGATTTCCGGCAGTAGCCAATTGATTTCGACCCATGCAGGCCCACGTACGTCTGTGAACCAGACAAACGAAGTGGTCTTGTGTCCTGAGTTAGTATGCAAATTGAAAACGCTTTTGAGCAATAAACCGTTAGGGGCCAGTCTATTTCAGTGTCGGTGAGGCAGTGGCGGTTACATACACATGCAGTGCATGCACGGGCGATGGACATCGCGTTATGGCAGCCATACATGTAACAACTCATGCCAAGAACAAAAGCAGATTAGAGTGAGAGGAGATTTTTTCTGAGCTGAATTTCTTCCCCAGTATGTTAAATGCAGCTTGTTTCTTATAAGCTAAAACAGAAAACAATGTGCACAGTATATAATTTCCCCTACCTCAGGAGAGTTTTAATCTCATTTTGACTCTGGATCTGAACTGTTTTTATTAATTTTTTTCATAGGCTAGTTGATGTGCAACTTGTTTCCTCTGTAAGCTAAAGCAGAAAGCAATGTGCAAAGAATGTCTTATACTTCTACCCCATGAGAATTTCATTTAAAACCGGAAACTGGAGCTGAAAATTTATTTTTCACATTTTATTATTTTCCATGGTTGTGCTACTGTATTTTTAACAAGCTCAATCTTGCCAAGAATAGAAGCCTCTCTTGAGTGAGATGACTGAAACCATCGCCTCTCGTCATATTTTATGGTCTTTTTATTAATTCAAAGTTATTAATTCACACGTCTCGTAGTAACAAGGCCATGCGCTTTAAATTATATGTGCATGTATAAATCACTTCTAAGGGGGAAAAAAGAGGAGAAAAAAAAAGCGTCACCGCACCACTTTTGGACCACGCCCATGACCAGAAACCGGAGTCTTTTGGGGGAGGGCCTTACTTATGGCAATACTGTATATTTGGCGAAGAAGTTAGATAAACAAATAAATTAAAGACACTTCAGGCATAAATATAAAAAAAAATGAGAAGGACGTAATAAATTGGAACCAAGTGGTTTTGAGCCTGCACTTAACTTGAAATTAAAACAGAAGAAGGCCAGATACTATAGACACTAAAACAAAATTTACATAGGCAAGTTTGCCGGTGTCTTACTACCCAGGTAAATCAATCATTAATTTCATAATCCTCTCCTCATTAAGTTGGGCCCATTATAATTTTTGTATCAATGTGAACAAATCCTTGCTTGTTGAGCATCTAATGACTAATAATAATAATAATAATTGACATTTACAAAGCGCCTAATCCATCAAGCTACTCCCAGGCGCCGTACATCAAAATATAAATAAATAAATAAAACCTACATGTACCACAATTAAAATCAATATTAAGAGACTAAAAATGCTTGTTTAAAAAGGTGCGTCTTCAGCCCGGTCTTAAAACTCTCCACATTCCTAGACTCTATAAGATGAACTTCAAGCTGGTTCCAGAGACGGGGACAAGCCGCAGCAAACATCCTCTCGCCAGCAGAAGACAGCCTAGTTTTTGGGAGAGTAAGCCTACACGAGTCCAGCGTGGAACGAGTGAAACGAATCGACTAGGAATCCTAACATCAAGCAAATCACTTAAATAACTCGGAGCACAGTCGTGGAGACATTTAAAGACCAGGAGACACAGACACACTTTAGAAATTACCCTATATTTTACTGGCAACCAATGTAATTGCATCAGCGCAGGAGTAATGTGGTCAAATTCTGGACTCACTGCAAAGGAGCAAGGGCTGGCGCCGATAGACCGATAAAAACAGAGTTACAATAGTCAATGCGAGACGTAACAAGTGCATGAATAATATGCTCCTTGGCTGATTGACCCAAATATTTTGCTTATATTGTACAGGTGATACATTGCAGTGCGAGAGAAATTCTTGATGTGGGATTGCATATTCATTTTGTTGTCAAAAACAACACCCTGACTCTTGACTTCAGAGACTGCGGTAATATTGTGATTACCGATATTCACAACAGTTCTAAGAATTCGGCTCAACGACATATGCCATCCAATGATAAACAGATCTGTCTTATCATTTAGCTTCAAAAATTAATCGCCATCCAACATCTGATGTCGTCATGGCATTTTTCCAAAACTGACACTTGTTGCTGTATGTTGCTGCCAGTTGGCTGTGCTGACAAATATAATTGAGTGTCATCTGCATAAAAATGACACCTCAGTCCATGATGCCTATTTAAATAACATCCCCTAATGGCAACATATACACATTGAATAAAAGTAGTCCGAGTACACAGCCCTGGGGGGCACCGTACGTAAGTGTGAATGAATTAATTTTCGGTGCACATACCACGATAAGGGTCCTGTACCATCAGTGGCCTTTTGGACATGCTGCCGAGTAAGATCCTCAGATACAACTCTGTAAGAGAAATGTTATTTTTTTTCACTCTAACACTGTACATGTGTATAACCACAAACAAGCACCACACAATGCATACATTTTATTATCGTGCTCCTCACCCACAGTTCACTAAGGACTCCCAATCGTATCTGCAATATATTTAGCATTTAGCTGACCGTGCACTTACCACATGTAGCTGACCTTTATGGGACTTAATATGACTATGCATGCTGGTTAGAGCAGAAGTTTTGTCCGCTTGCAGGAACTAAAATATTGCAGATATACAAGCCCAACAGGCTTGCCGGTTTGAAAGTGGCATAATTCAATGAAAGCTACACCCTTGACAATCAATACCCTTCAAACCTCCTCAAAAAGCTCCACAATATTGGAAGCATTCCTACTTGTGTTTGAGAATATGGCCAATACACGGGCAATTGTTTGCCTCTTCATCATTCTGCACTTACTCCCCCTTTGAGACACAATTATAGAGTATCCCGCCACTCACCTTGCCCACCTCGTAGCCGCGGATACACAGATACGGACTCACGCTTCCATCCACAAGGCCCACTTCGTATCCCCGTATCCGCGTAGCCGCTCCCCGGGACCCACTTTGGACTTGGACATTATTTTAATCTTCCCCTAGGGAGTTGAATGTATGTCAATTGAGTGCTTTGTTGTCGAAAATGACTTCAATACTACATAACACGTACCTCGACGCAGCAAGGATAACCCTGAAGTTGAACAACCACCACTGGACTACGCAGCCATAGATTTTTAGGGAGTATTTTCGCGTGGCAGGCTACTCTGCAATTACTCCATTTTGACATTTGACATTTATCAAATAGACTGAATGGATCCCGTTTCACACGGCACGTTAAAGTGGAATGGCTGAGCGCGATCGCTCACACCGCGCGCCAGACTAAGTCTGGTAACGGACAACTACAATTACTCGTAAAGGATGTCCGGCATCAGACTATTAGTCTGGTTGCCGCCACGATCAGAAGGTGTTTATTGCCATGGCTATTTTTGTTCCCTCGGAAATCCCCTAAAATGTTAACATTTCGCAATGGTATTTTTCTCTGTTAATAAGGCTATATAATTCAGAGCGCTGGACAAGACTCTGCACCGGCAATTTCATTTTTACTTATTTCCATTTGGAGAGTAAAAATTACTCAATAAAATACTCCTTACGTACGTGGACTGTGTACAGTCATTTTGCAATTGTAATATCAGATATGATCATGAAAATCACCTTTGGGGCACCATTGCAACATCGTTTTCCGAAAAAAATAATATAAACATTAATACCCTAAATTTTAAAAAATGGGCCCCTCCCCCTAAAAGCTCCCTTGTTCTCTCCATTGTCCAAGCTTCCAGAAAATAATGTGGTTCCTTTGACAATTTTATTGTTACCTTATACATTTCCTGGGCGATTTTAAAGGATAAAATGCTTGAAAACCTTGCCTATTTTAGCTTTCAAAAAGGGAAGTCAAAACCACTTCCTCTTGGCCTAATTCAACATGACGTATGTGAAAACTTGGAGGAGCGTATTTCTTCAACAAGATAACATCACAATCCTTCTTAACCCCGTATAAACTTAGACACATACAGAAACCTGGCTATTACTGACATCGAATCAAGATGGCCGCACTGGTGGAAACCTGTCGCTAAGAGGATCGTCGATATTTTTCTCAAATATTGTAGTACGGCAAAACAACGTAGACAGGGTCTATAAAAGGTACAGATATTGGGATAAATATGTGACCACCGATATATTAACTTGAATTGTGAAGTTGAGGAAAAAATATTTCAAAAAATATAGATTAAAAAATCGCTCCTTCTGCAAAGGCAAAATTTCAGGGGGTCATTGTACTGGGGTCTTAATTGACCTTCCTTGTCAAATGAGCTGGAAAAATAGTACTGTAACGAAAAGTATAAAACATGTTAACTAAATCAGAAATACCTGTGCAATGTAGACTCCTCACGGCATTCCTTGTATCAGCCCTAGATTACGCTGAAAAGGCTTCGCTTAACGTCTGAACAGAGACTTGTGCCCCGATATTATGCACTCTGCAGGTCCAAGTTCGATGGAAGCAACTGTCAACCGCTGTAACCTGTTCTACCTGGTATCCAGGCGATATTTTGTGCGGGGATACCAGGGAAAATCGACCATTGGTGGCAAAATGGTTTTCACTCGAATGCGTCCCTAGATTAGGCCGTTGGCAAAGCACCGTATTGCGCCTGCGTGTGTTTACTTACGGTGGCTTTCAGGGAACACTGCGCAGGCGAAAGAACTGAAAAGAAATGTCACTGTGTCTTAATTGTACTGTATGGGGCATTGGGAAATGTTTTTAAGTTAAGCGCTAACGCAAGCATTCGTTCGTTCGTTTGTTATACCTTCGCAAATTAATTGCTCCTCACTTAGACTTTGAAGGTTTCTCTAGCTTGCGTTTCTGGTCTAGGTGCATGTATTATCGTGCCAGAATTTGCTGAAATGCTTGTCTGTTGGACTTCTTCTTGATGATGTCGACCCGCTCAAGTCCTGGTAGGAATTAGACTTACACCCATATGCTTAGTGCGTTTTTAGGCGTTGGACGAATGAACAACGTTTGGTTTGTTGGATGCGAGGGATCGCGTCTGACAACATGTGCGATGTACTTGAGAAAACTCACCGCTGTTTCCGTCTGTGTTAAACGGGGTGGGGAACACCGGTTGTGCGCATGCGTCAGTTTTTTGACTAGTACAGGCAAGTTTCATAATTCATGAATCTTGACCCATTTTGTAAACACTGCCTAAAATTCATGATAATAATGAATATTCACGATTTGGATGCATACTTTCGACCACTCCCACACGTTTACACTTTTTACTGACAAGTGCAACAGGAGAAGCGAACCGAAATGGATTTTCTTAAGCGCGAAATTTAAAGCTAAACTGAGCTGCTCCGATTTTGTGTTTCTGGCGAGGTAAGATTTACAGATGAAAATTCTATATGACCTAGAGTTTTCCTGGCCTAAAACAACACATAATATCACGAAGCAACTCTTCACCTTACAAACTATATTTTCTCTTCTGTGTGAGCCCCAAGGTTTTCGAGAAATGTGGACTTTACATGGGTGATATTTTCAGCCTGAACCGCCATTTCGGTAGCCCGCGCGAGCGCGGTACCGGTGCCAGACTACATGTACATGTATATCACGCGCGGGCGATCTGCCCGACTGACTACTGCATACCCGCTTGACTATAAAAAAAATGCAGGACGACAAGCACTTTAACTCGATATTCTTTGGTAAATTATGACCTCCCAGCAGTGCAAAACAACCTCCACTTTCTGATATATAAACAGGTTGGGTGGGGTATTGTCAAAATCTTTAAATGACTGGTATTTTAAACAACATCCTCATAGGTTGATAAATGAAAAAATCTTCTTTTCAGATTACATGTACGTGTACTTTCAAAAACTACATAACATGTGGATCATTTTTACTTGAAAGGTTTTGAAAGAAAATTTGAAATTGTTTTCTTACACTGAAACCGTTTGTTTTAATTTGTCACTTTTTAATAACTTAAATAAAAAATAGTCTTCTGGAACTACATATCAATCAAAAAGGAAAGAACAAAGCTACTCTTGACAAATGTTTCAAGGATACAAGCATGTAAATTTGTTACTTTTAATTGACAGACTATTGGAAAGTGGCTCTTTGATTATGGATCACATACACAATCTCCAGAAATTATGCAGAATATGTGCCGAGGGAGTAAATCCATGGAAATTCCATAACGGGCAACCTATGCCTTGCTCAGAAAATCAAGAGATACAAGCGAAGTATAAAAATCAATGTAGAAACCGATGAGCCATATTGCCACCCTCCCTTCATGTGCCATCTTTGCAGTTCAAATCTTTATCTTTCAAAGACACATCCTGTGCCAAATGATTGCCCCCCTCCAACATGCCCATGCTTCGTTTGTGACAAGGTGAACATTTCCAAAAGAGGTGGTCGTCCTTCGAAAGGGAAACATGCTCGTCTTATGACTCTTGACAGGGAAGAGGAGAAAGCCAAGGCAACTGTGCAGAGGAACTTCGAGTGGCTTAGGCAAACAACGACTCCGACAATGGGGCATAATTTTCAGTCAGATGATAGTTCTTTCATTTGCAAGTACTGCTGCAAAATCTTCAACAGACCTACCGAAACACAGTGTGAGCACATTGTTTGCTTGGAATCCCTAGAAGAGCTATTTTCCAAATCGTCATCTTCAACAGTTCTTTGCTCAGTTTGTAGGAAGCAAATCAGCCTTCTGCATATCCAACATGCCAAGCACTACTTTGTGAATGTCCTCATGAATGGGAGGGTCAAGTGCAAGAAATGCAACCAAAGCAGTTGGCTCAAAAATGCAGAAAGACATGACTGCAGTAATCCACAAAGCTCAGCACCTGTTGATGAGAAGATATTCAGAGATATTCTAAACCATGCAGTAACTTTTGATGAATAGAAGCATGCATAGCCTTAGGTATGTTGTAAGCACGGTTTGCAAATAATAACCAAAACCGACATATTTATAAATGAACGTACATGCAATGGTGTAAACACACAGGCCTATTTGTCGTGTATATGTATGTCTTTGTCAAAAATAGTGCTATTTGAAGATAGGTACCCGATGGCATGTACTTCGGAGCAACTCTTTCACAGTGAGGACGCCCATGAAACCATCACCCACGTAGAGCTCTCGCGGATATTCCTCCAACATGTAGTGTATCAATGCAAAAATCAGCGTGTCGTGTAATGCCTTGCAAATATTATCGTTAGGTTTGCACAGTTCACAGAGCGCAAATACATTGTAAAAGGTCCATTCTTCACGCTGGATGTCAAGCATAGACCGGCAAAACTCTAGGAACAATTCTTTTGAGGCTTTAACAACGGTCAAAAATCCCGTAATTGTCGATCAATCACCAAAACACGTTAACTTTTAGACACTCTTCTCACGAGTATTCTGCAACCAAAATGGCCGAACGTACTGACAGTTTAAAGGCCAATTTTGTGTTTTTTGTAATAAGCCGTATTCTGTAGATATTCATTAACACAGTGCCCCTCAAAAAGGATTTAATTAAGGTGACCCTTTCAGCTCATTAATATTCATATAGTTTTTACTACAAGGGGGCGCACTTAAATGGCGCAAATCTTGTGCGTGCGCACAACCGCTTTTCCGTGCCGAAACAGCGGTGAACTGACATGGATGAAATCCTTGAGTGGGACGGCGTCAAAATACACATCCAGATCATCATTTGTGTACTTGAGTGCCATGATATCCTCTCCAGAATCAGCCTTTGTTGGCTAAAACCACAACACTAATACCAAAATGACGTCTATTTTGCTACCTAGCCCTCTTTTAAGCACTAGGCAAACAGCACCAACTGAAGAATCTCACTCACGCCACCTTGCACACCAACCAATCATTCGGAACCTGCCGATAGTTTTTAAATTTCCCAACCGCCTCCGCAATTCGCTTCATGATGTAACGGTCAATGTGGAGGCTATAGTGGAGCAGCTGACCTATGGCACCTTGAACTGAAGTACATTGCCAATCTCGTGCCCATCTTCTGTCATCGGTCTGTGATTATTCATCTTGTCTGGCTTGTCCGTGCCTAGTGGCCATATCTGAGTGTACGTTAATTCTTGAAAGAAACGTACAATCCACAACGCTGACGTTCGTCGTGCAGGAATTTTAGGACCTTTACCACCTTGTCCGCGTCCGCCGCCAGCACGTCAGATCATCAGCGTACATCAGCACTGTGACAACCTCCTCATCACCGCGTAGCTTCTTGCTGCCTTCCCCGTTTTGGCCTCAAAAAGTGGTCGACATTGTATACTGAATCGTGCCCCAACTTCACCGACTTCGTCCAATATGTGCTTATTGCGCGCCACCTTGAGCACGAAATCGAACAGTCAATTTATTACTATCTGACCTTGATGCAAGCCGCATTTGCTTCTTGGATGTGATATACACATGCATGATGACCGCATTGTGGTCCACGGGAAAACACTATGATCACTTCAAGGCAGAACAATTAAAGGACACAGTCCTGCCGTGAGTTGCTTGAACTGAGATAGTGTTTGTCCTGTTGGCTAAGCTACATCGAACACAAAGTGGTCTGTTGCGTGCGATACTGCATGTACTGTGCGCTATGTACATGTACACTGTACATGAATCGTTCTGACGATGACGTCATCCAATCAGCTGGGGAGTGCGAAAGGCCAAAAGGAGATTTTTTTTGTGGACGGGGAAACGCAGGATCTTTTTATTCATTTTGCGGTCACAACTAATGGGGTAAACACTGAATTTATGATCTTTTTTAAATGATTACGTATTTATTGTTATTTTGAAATACTTCACGCGAACTAAATGTTTTCCATTTCTGTAACCCTTTAATTAATGACTAATTAATGACTTTCAGTTCGCAAAAAGAGCAAAGTATTATCACGTTCCAGAGCTAATCTAAAAATAGGTAAGGGCAGATGAGAACATTCTTTACTCTTTGTGCAAAAATAACTACCATATAAAGCCAACACAAAGTCACGTGTAGATTTTTACTTTTTTGCGGCCGTTCTCGGGCACCGTACAGTTTTGCAAAATGATCTGGAGAATTCCACTGTATTCTTAGTTACGGTTTACAAGTTCACCCAGTTCTGTTGTGACGCATACGGCTCTCGTGACTGCTATATTTGACCTTAGGTGGAACAAACAAGAGCAAAGTTCCAAAGCGTTCCTCTCGGCGCCTATAATGTGTTTGTTTACAGGGGGAAAACAATAGTATTCCGCATGCAGCGGTTGCATGGACCAGCCTGAGGGCAGACATATGGTGATACAGACGTTGTGGGCTCACACAAGTTAAGTAGAATGATTTGAGGCAATTTTGTTCATGTCGACTAGATTACATTTCCCTTTTCACTTGTATCATTCCTGCAGACAGTTTCCATTTCTTACTTGAAGGTTATGTTATTGAAGCAAAGTTCAGTGAGTGTGACGGAAATGAACAAGATCGCCAAGCAAAGGGTAGTGCGTGCACGGTGGGTTGTTTCAGGAGCATCGGCGCTACGAAGCCCTGGAAAATGACTTTCGAGGCTAGTCAGGCTACAAACCAACCAATATCTCGCGAAGAGTAATTCTCCTCAGGCCCCATAACAGGTGGTTGGTTGTTATTCTTTTTGTTGGACACATCCTGAAAGTTGCATCCTGAAATCTTTGGTGAATATACCATAGAGTCGATCGCAGAAACTGAGTTTGGTAAGTTCGGTGCAAGAAGAGACGCTTGTTGTGTCGCTTTCCCCAGACGGGGAAGTCGGCGTCGGCGTCGACGTCGAATGGCGTAAATTCTTCGTCAGTGCGTATACCGTCGACCCACTTTCGAGATATTGAACAAAATGTCTGAACACACGCGGAACGCACTCCAAACGATGGAGAGCATCAAACGGAAAGAGAGTGGTCTACAAGAGACGTTACGGAGGACCGGAGAGGCAAAATCCAAACCTGTGATTCTTAGGCCTTACCTTGAAGGATATTCCAGCATGACACACGTTGACGATTTTGTCCTTCGTCGCTCTCAGAAAGCGGTCTCGGAGAATCACCAAATACATTGGTCAATTCTCATTTAAACACAACCGGAAGCTGAAACATTTTCATAAGAGCAGCATTTATAGTGCAGTACAACCATTCAGTCTTAACCACACGGTATTGTATTCTATTAGTTAAGGCCCCGCCACGTTTAACAGTTTGTTTATTCCTGTCTGTTTCCCGAAGATGTTGGACCTCAGTACTGGTAATTGTTTTCTTTATCCTCATTTTTTGTGTGGTCTTTACGTCAAAAGCTGACGGTTTCTTATTTTGTTTCTGTGATTGTGTTAATGAAATATCCCGTTTCTATTATTGCTAGTATGTTTCTTCATGGTTTTCATTTATCCTGGTTTCATATCTGGTTTTTATCTGTGTTGTTTCCATCTTCCTCAACCATCAATCTGTAGGCATGCCACACATCTAGGCATGCATGTTTGGGTATGATTATGCCACTGCATGCACTTCAATACGGGCGATTCACAATAGTGCGCCTCCAAGAGTTTGCAACGCTTTGGCCGATCACAACGCGCGCAATTTGTTGGCCATTTTCAAACGTGCATTGGGTCGACAGATTTCGCGCATTGTGATTGGCCAACGTGTTGCAAACTCTTAGAGGTGCACTACTGTGAATCGCAGGTATTGAGTGATAGCATCAACGTTCTTAATGGTTGCTTGCTGAAGTGTAGATCGCACTTCCCAAGGCCGCAGGTTCATTCGCGCTTACCGGGCAACCTGCCTGTCTCCAACATGTTTAAGACTGAGTTGTTGAGATTGCACAATGACAGAAACAGGGCTGCCTGCCCAATAATGAGAGTGAATGAACACACGCCTTACAAAAGCGCCTGCAAAATTTAATGCTTTTTGGTTGAATTGTTTATTTGGGTGATAATTTTGTTAAATCAAATTAACCAATAGTACTTTTGCCTATAGCACGAAAGGGAATGGCACGGAGGTTTCATTGGCTGCTTATTTGCCGAAAGTCATCGGCAAAACCCATATGAATGTCAAAGCGGTTTCCCGTTCGCCCGGAATTGTGTAAGCGTCCCAGCAGATTCACATCTAATTCAAATTCTCTGACCTGTATAATTGACATGCCACATGTGCAACTTTGTTTGCATCTCTTTTTCTGAAGAAACCAATACGGTTCTGCTCTAAACCATACCTTTCATTACGGTCAATTTGGTAACATATTATACAAATGGAAATGATGAACTCAAATACATGTACAAATACTTGAAGTTTGCAACGCACTTTATTTTATTCAAGCCAGGCAACCACATACCGGTAACAATTATATGAGACCTACATTTCTCTCGAAGAACTTAGCCGATTAAACAGAAATGGGGACTTGCACTGTTGACAAGGATCTGCATACTCGACGGGGAAACAGTTCCACACCTTATGAAACGTTCAAAGTCGCCCCCAAGACAATAGTTAATAGACACTTACGTTCCACGTTTTTCGGCTACAAACTACCCACTTCGTAGTGATACAGTTATACGTTTTGATACACATATGATATTAACTTGGTATTCTGGCGTAACTTGTATTTAGCGTCTGAATCAAAGTGTTTTTTCTGTGATGCATGTCTTTCGAAAACATAAGGTGAAAGTTGTGTATAAACCGCTATTTGTACAACCGGTGTATTGTGATGAACATACAAAAGCAGTGCGATGTCCTCTGTAGGTAATACCTTGCCCGTGGTCTGCCATGTCGTAGCATGTGGAGCCCAAAATTCCTGAATTTCCCGTTAAATTATCAAGTTGTTTCAGTTTTTCGCACTAAAGAAAACGACTAAATAAGTCAGAAATCAGGCTTTCATACAGATTATGAAGTCAACCCATCACCATCGATATGGGTTGTTATTTCATATTCTAATTAGGTAAGAGTAGACAACGTAATAATTGGAGTCAATAATTATATCAGCCCACCTACAGTTGTGCTCAAAATTATTCATACCCTGTGGAAAATAACATACTTTTTAAATTCTTCATTTGTCAAGCTATTATGTAGGTACTTCCACTATATCTTTTGTCTATTTGTTGCAATACACAAACCCACATGTGTATTGGCTAAACTTCATTTGCATAATAATAGATATGGCCGTTTCTTTCTTTTTTGCTCCGGACAAAATCCCCCCCAAAAATGTCCTTTCATTCATGCTGCTCTTTTTCACTTTCTATGACTGCAAGAATCTTTGGCAGGAAGCTATTTCAAAATATTCCAATATAATAAATATCTTCTTTTAATGACTTTAAGTTCAAGATTTTGATGAAATGTCATCTCCCCCAAGGAGTATCAAAACAAAAAAAGTTCTCAGATCATTCTCAGTTACTCGTCACCATGGCCAAGAAGGAACTCAGTGGGGATATGCGCCAGCGTATCGTGAATGCCTAGACAGAAGGCAAAGGCTACATGGCAATTTTCAAGCAATATGAGGTCCTTGTTGCAACAGTTCAGAGTATCATCAGGAAGCATAAGACCTTCAACACAGTGAAAAACCTCAACGGGCGTGGCAGGAAGTGCAAAGTATCTCCTAGACTCGCCAGACAGATCTACTGAGATGCCAACAACAACCCATGGATCACAACCAAGGCCCTAATGGATACCCTTGACAAGGCAGGGACGAAGGTGTCACGAGCAACCATCAGCGAGTACTGTACAAAGGAGGTCTCCACGGACGCAGGCCCAGGAAGACACCACTACTCAGGAAGAAACATAGGGAGGCTTGTCTGGCATTTGCTGTAGCACATATGAACTAAGATCCTACTTTTTGGTCATCGGTCCTGTGGTCTGATGAGACAGAGATGGAGTTGTTTGGCCACATGGATATTGCCTACGTCTGGAGGAAGCAAGGAGAAGCATACAAAGCTGAAGAACACAGTCCCAACCGTGGTGGTGGCAACATAATGCTATGAGGGTTGCTACTCTGCTAGTGGCACCGGGAACCTCAATAAGATACAGGGCATCATGGAAAAGGAGGATTATACCAAGATCCTTAAAATAAATCTTAAAGCGTCCGCTGAGAAATTCCAGCTTGGACCTGATTGGACTTACCAACAGGACAATGACCCCAAGCACACCGCCAAGGTAGTAAAGCAGTGGCTCAAGGACAATGGTGTCCATTTACTGGAATGGCCAAGTCAAAGTCCTGACCTACATCCAGTAGAGAATCTGTGGCGGGGGCTGAAGACCAGAGTGATGGCCAGGAGACCATCTAACCTGACCCGGCTGGAGGTTTTCTCCAAGGATGAGTGGGCCAACATCCCACAGAAGACATGCAGAAAACTTGTGGACACTTATAGAAACCGTCTTGATGCAGTCATCGTGAACAAAAGTCACGCTATTGATTATTAAGAAGAGACGTTGGACTATGTAAACCTGAGGTATGAATAATTTTGACTAGGAGCAAAGCAAAAAACCCAGGCCGTATCTATTATTACGCAAATGAAGTTTAGCCAATACGCTTGTGGGTTTGTGTATTGCAACAAATAGACAAAAATACAGTGGAAGTACCAACATAGAAGCTTTTACAAATGAAGAATTTAGAAAACTATGTTATTTTCCAAAAGGTATAAATAATTTTAAGGACGACTGTAAAAGGCTACAATGTATCAGTAGGCCCAACAAGCTATCTCGATTATTAATTAAAATCCCGCTGACCCTTCAACTACGTGTCTGTTTACCATGCCCTGTTGTTCCGGTCTGAGCCAAATCGACTCTGGGTGAAGCGTCCGGCAACACACAAGCAGAAGCCCTCGGAACACTGTCAATATGGTGCCTGGACTCTCTTTACTCCTGAATAGCAATAATGGGAGCCATTAAGACTCTTAGGGCTAAACATAATACTTGTTCAACGTCTATATTGTTCACCCGTCTATATTGTTTGGTATTTTTAAATAAATTCCCCAAAGCCTGATTATCTAGAGTGCTGAATAGCATTGCAAGGATTTAGCGAATATCTTCCTTCCTCCAAAGTAAATGATCCCTGAACGGGGTCTTTAGGGTTTCCAAAAATGGCACAAGAACCTGCAACGTATTTGAGGTAAATGAGTTACCATTTACCATGTCTTTCACCTGCTTAGTGAATTATCCCTGAATGTTGTTAGGGTTCACAACAATCGTGTGTTCATAAACTGAACTCTTGAATCGACCTGTCCTTAGTAACTACCACGTGCCACCATTACCTTCAGAGATAGAGTTTGAGAAATTCCATTCAGCTGTACTTTTTAATTAAAAGAAGGAATTTAGAGGTGTCAACAATTAAGATCGAAATAGGAAATGTCTACAGCAGGTATTGCGCTTATGGGGCTACGCAAATGGAAGGACCGACAAAAAATCTGTGATCCTACAAAAGTATGACCGAGTGAATTGTCTGTTTAGGTTGCCAGGATTTGCAACAATCGAGTTTTTACAAAAACACACCTATTGAATCGAGCTGTCCTTCGAAACTAGCACCACGAGCTTCCATCGCCTCTGCAGACTGGCTATGGCCTAAAGGGATAGAGGTTGTCAAAAACAAATCACAGGAAGAACCTGAACAACGTTGGAAGTACTTGAGTGAACACCTGTTATTTGTTTTTCTAACTTACTGGATGATGCCTGAACGTCGTTGAAGTATACATCAATCGCATTTTATTAACTTACCTCTTGAATCGAGCTGTTCTTCAAAACTAGCATCACGTGCTTTCATCACCTCTTCTGACTGGCTATGGCCTTCGGGGATATAGTTTGAGAAATAAAATGTAAGCCGTAATTTCTATTGAGAAAAATGAGTGTAGATGTGTTAGCAGTATAGGATAATCAAATAGTCAGTAATCAAATAGCGGCCACTGTGTCTGTAGAGTAACGAATGGAGTAATTCTCGCCCAAGATTATTTGTGTAAAAGGCTGAAAGGCGAGAACCGGCGCATGGACAAACACGTGCGCCTACTCCTTTCGTTTGCTATGCTTTGCCTGCTTCACAGCGACGTCACACGTTGGTGCTATATAGTGCCTAAGCAAGAAACAAGAGCTCACAAAAAACTGAGAGCCAATAAATATATCAGAGTGTTAATTAAACATGCAAGTTCTCTCTCATGTTCCAAAAATGAAAAGTTAAACGTCACCTTCAGTTCAAGATGGCCGACACATGAATACAGTCTGTGTGGTGTACACTAAAGATTCCCCCAAGGTAAACATTGTTAAAACTCATCTAAGACTGTCGTTCCACTCATAACCAAAGCAAACGCTTTCAAATATTACAGAGGACCCTCGGGAATGTCCTGTGAAGCGTCTTTGGACTCGTTAATGATTTCAATAAAAATTGCCGCAAGAACTTCAACAGTTTTAGAAGTGCCTATGTGAGCATCTGTCACGTCTACCTTTAATTTCAGGTAATGATCCGGTAACGTTGTCAAGGTTTACAGCCAAAGTGCTTTCACAAGCTTACCTCTTGAATCCAGTCGTCCTTCAAAACTACCACGTGCTTTCATCACCTCTGCAGACTGGCTTTGGCCTTCAGGGACATAATTTAAGAAATAAAATGCAAGCTGTCAGTTTAGAGAGGTGACTATAGGATTACCAAGTAGCCACAGCAGCCACTACGTGCCTACGCAAAAACTGTGATTCACCAACAACATCTATGTTGCCAGAAAAATTGAGCCTCTTCTTGGTCAGGATCAGGAAGCATGGTCAGATGTCACTCCCTAGACAAAACTGGTTACCAGCTATCTGCAGTGATCACTGCCAATAATGTTAGCCAATGCGATAACTACTGTAAGGAGCAACTCTGCTGAGACCCTCGGGAATGTGCTGTTAAGCGTCGTTAGATTTGTCAATAATTGCGTACAATATTTCTTCGAAGCATCATTGGCTAGAAAGGTAAAAGGAATTACACGAATTTGAGCAAAAAGTCTCGTTGTTGTTCTTTTCTTAATGAATGATCCAGGAAAATTGTCAGTTTTACCTCTCGAGCCGAGTTGTCTTTGGAAACTACCACGCGCTTTCATCACTTCCTCAGACTGGCTATGACCTGCAGGAATATAGTTTAACAACTTCAATTACAGTTCACAACAATTGCATTTTATAAACATATTTCTTGAATCGAGCTGAGTGAATATTTCCTTCGTCTATTTCTAAACAAATTATCCCTGAGCGTTGCCATCTTTTTTATGTAATCGCAGAAAGAGCCTGAACAGCTTGAAAGTGTTTGAGTCAACGTCTGCTAGGCAAAATTCTAACTTACCCGAACGGTGGCAACTTTAAAACAATCGTGTCTTTATAAGCTTACCTCTCGAGTCGAGTTGTCCTTCGAAACTACTAAGTGCTTTCATCACTCCTTCAGACTGGCTATGACCTGCAGGAATACAGTTGAGAAATAAAATTCTGGCCGTAATTTCTATTTAAATTACAAAGAGGTGTGAGTGAGGTTGGATCATCAAATAAAAGCAGCAGGAACTGTGTCTAGTACAGCCAACTCAAAATGCTACGACTTACAACAATCAGAGAGTCTACGAAAATATCTCAGTGTGCTATAAAACATGCTTGGGATTTCAAAGTTCTGAATTCCGTCTATGATTAGTTTTCTGAAAAGATCCGAAGTATCTACTGCCAAGATCGGTGTAGCTCAGCATCAACGTAATGTGGTGGCTTCACAGCTAGAATATGGAAAGCGGTAAGGCCTAAGGAACCCGGATCCCGGTAATGCCTAAGGAACCCGAGGTCTACAAGACGCTGGTTTTGAAGTCTATAAAAACGAGATGTGATGACAAAACAATTGTAAACAAGATGTACTTTAATAAGGACTGTCCCTGTGATGTAAAAACACACTCTCACTTGTTCCCTCTCAGAACAATTAGTAGACAACACACGTTGAAAGTTTCGCCAACATTGTTTAGACTCCGACTGCTACAACAATCGTATTTTTGAAACTTTCCTCTCGAATGGAGCTGTTCTTCGAAACTACCACGTGCTCTCATAACCTCTTTAGACTGGCTATGGCCTTCGGGGATAAAAAATTGGGAAATAATTACAGGAAGAACCTGAACAACGTCGGAAGTACTTGAGTGAACATCTGTTATTTGTTTTTCTAACTTACTGGATGATGCCTGAACGTCGTTGGAGTATACAGCGATTGCATTTTATTAACTTACCTCTTGAATTGAGCTGCTCTTCAAAACTAGCTTCACGTGCTTTCATCGCCTCTTCTGACTGGCTATGGCCTTCGGGGATACAGTTTGAGAAGTAAAATTTAAGCCATAATTTCTATTGAGAAAAATGAGTGTAGATGTGTTAGCAGTATAAGATAATCAAATAGTTGCAGCGGCCACTGTGTCCATAGAGTGACGAAGGGAGTAAGTCTCGCCTAATATTATTTGTGTAAAAGGCTGAAAGGCAAGAACCAGCGCATGGACAAACACGTGCGCCTACTCCATTCGTTTGCTATGCTCTTCCTGGTTCAAAGTGACGTCGCACGAAAAATACGTGTCGAAGGCTCCAAAATATTCATTCTTTTATTGGCCTCACAACTCCTCAATTAGATTTGGACTTTTATTGTTGAAACCCTGAAAGGAAGCTTGCAAGCTCTCAATAGTCAGATTCCACACGTAAAAGGTACAGTGATGCACACAAGTTGGTAACTCTGGTAATGTTACTGGCTATCTTCTGTGACTTCCGACAAAAGTGGTAAGCATTCAAGAAACACTGTCGTACCTAAACAACATTGGTGGAGCTTGATTTAACATCGGCCATTTTTTCTACCTAAATAAATGGTCCCTCAGCGTTTTCAGTGTTTACAACAATCATGTTTTATAAACCTACCTCTAGAGTCGAGGTGCCCTTCAAAACTAGCGCCACGAGCTACCATCACCTCTTCAGACTGGCTGTGGCCTTTAAGGATTGAGATTGAGAAATAAAATTCAACCTGTTCCAGCTGTTATTTCGTTAAAAAGAAATTACTTTAGAGGTGTGAATGATGTTGGATTATCAAGTAGGAACAGCCGACATTGCGCCAACTGGGCTAACACAAAATGCCAGAACCCCCTCCAAAAATCGGAGAGCCTATGACAATATCACAGTGTGCCATTAAATTACGGAAAAGGTCTGAAGTCCGTCTTTTGTATTTTAGTTTTCGAAAAGCTTCAAAGTATAGTTCATAACTCGATGAAATGGAAGGCTTCACCGCTGAAGAAAAATGTCGTAGTGCTTGAGGTAATGGTCTCCAGGAAACTTGTAAAAGACCGAGGAACACCAAATCTGTTCCTTGGTTTGAGGTGTAAAAACTGGGACTAGAGATGATGAAACGCACAGTGTAAAGAGAAGAAAGGAGCATTACTGAAAAAGAATTTAAATACATTCGAATCATTACGTCACTTACCATGCAGCGGTGCTGCCACAACCAAACCAAGACAGAGCACAAAACTCAGGCAGGCGTATCCCTTCATTGTTGGTAACTATTTACTATAAATCAAACAGTAAAGATGACATCAGGAAATCCACACCACTCTGCGTTATCTGCAGTATGTACCATCAGGGCTGATGTGGCATGCTAATTGCATATTCTTATTTTGGTTTTCGACGCAACCTAAGCTTTACAATGCACCTGGGACAAAGCATGAACTTCAACCTTGCATGAACGTAGCTATACATCTTTCAACACATTTCACATTTGAAGAAGAGATTTCATACGAGACAACAAAATGAATACTCAGCTTTCCTTGTGTTGTTCTTTTGATTTTTTTTTTAAAGATTCTGTGGAAATCTACTGTCTTGATTACAAGAGCTGGATACATTGTTGATAATTTGTGAAGAAGAAATACGAGGAAGACGAGACTCTTCCTCATAAGAGTATTATTAAGTCAAACACTCAGAAAGAAACAATGCCTCAAACACCAATTCTTACCGAAATATACCTGGGCAAAACTTTCCTTCTGGTGGCAGTTCAGGAAGAGCGATTTTTTTTGACAAGTGCTAGAGAGGGGTTGTCTGCCGTTGAGTGTTGATCAGCCTGGCATTCTGGTTTCTCTAGCTAATTCAGGCTTTATATATACCGTGATACTCACAATTTACCAACAGTGCCCTTTGGAGTGCAACAGTATGTCACGTTATGCATGAACTGATTAATGACATTGACCATTCGATGGGTGCTCGTGCGTTAAAGGTTTGTCGGCGCTCCCAGACATCCGCCGCCTGGCTTCCGTTTCTTGTGTTCTCCATTTCCACTGTGGTGGCATGGTTGCCTTTCCCGCCGTCCCCCTACTTTCTTGTATTTATGGGTAAATGTTTGGACCAGCTAAGCAGAGTAAGTTTTAGAACATATTTTGCAGCTCCATACTATTGAGCCCATGCACCAAAACAGGATAACACAAATCATTGTTAGCAGTAGCTTTCTTAAGAATCCCAGGGAAACGCGGGCTATTAATTTAAATATGAGACAGCAGCCACAGCTTACAGTAGAAGTAACTTGTCAACCACAGACGTTTCAAATTTACCCCTCTCCCACCTGACATGTTATTCCCGACTGCATCAGTTCCACAGCCTCAGTGGTTTCTGCAGGAATTATATCGAATATCTTTATTATCAGTATTCTTCATTTTTGTCATAATGCTCTTTCTGATACTCAAGAAACACTTATGAGGAGAAAGACTGCCTTCCCTCTTGAGTAGAAGTACTCATGTTGGTTGAAAAAGAACCACATTGGTCGGGAGTGTCCATTTTGTTGGTAGCGACTCGACCGCAATGCATGCATTTCATAGTCGTTTGTGAACCACCAAAGTGCAATTCCTACCAAAGGAGCATCCGTTGCGAGGAAAATTGCGCCCTCTCTTGGGGATCAAGGCGAGAGTAAAATGTTGGCACAAGTTAAGTTTGTATTTTGCTCGTCCTATTTCTTATGTTTTCAATTAGACACATTCATACACAATTACAAGAGGGCCAGTTAGGAGAAACTGATTTTATGTGGACTGTTGAGCAAGTCCGTCGCAAATAATGAAAAGATGCAGTCTTTCTCTGAATATTCATTGTCAACAGTGTTGTTGTGTTGTTTTCAACAAACGAGACATTGAGATATAAAATGTTTTCTGTTTACGCCTTGAAGAGGGGAGGTATCTGAGAAAAGAGTACTTTTTAAATCCAGTGAAAAAATGACAAAACGAATTACCCCTGAACTGAGAACAATTATTGTTGCAGAGGCCAATGAGACTGCGGCCCGGAGTGTAGAGGAAATATTTAGATTCGTGGCCCAACTGGCCTTCAAACACTCGGTTGATGGGAAGATTTTTACCAACGTTATAGAAAATATATCCACATATATTTATTTCCAAAATGGTGCAGTGGTTGTTTGCCAGTCGCAGTATCAAAAGCCAACATCCTATGCTGAAATAAAACAACAGGTTTGACATGAATGCTTGATCTTTCAAAGTGCTTGCCATGTAGCATCTGCCACATCCGATGGATTTGAAAGGACGTGATGTCACAAGTACGTGACAGTTTTGCTTACTAAGAACGAATTTCTATTTCTTCCGATGACATTTCGATACTTTTCTTGAAATGTCAATCCTTTTGTCTGATTACGCATTAACTGACATCTCGTTTAATAGTGAAACATGTTTAATTTAAGCAAACCCAAAAATCAAACGCAATAATTTTATGTAATTGCCTCTAAAGTTGAGCGGAATGTTGCTGAAGTGAATTGCTGACACCTCGCAACGCTCCCTGTTCATGTTATTTTTTTAACAACTTTATAGAACAAGACCTTTCCTCATGAACAACACTCAGTGTTCCCACTAAATCGTTAAGAGCCTCTCTCCCAGCTTCACAATTTCGGAATCTCCCACATTTTTACCTTAGTGTGGATTTTTGTTAGTGACTGACGTCAATGTTGTTATATACTGCGGGTGACATTGATGCTAGTGTGAAGGTTATAAAAAGACACCCCCTTTTATTTGGCACAAACGTTTTTGCTTATTAAGTTACAATCGTCGTTCATATTCAAATTAGACTAGCTCTACCAACGTTCCCAATTTCGGCACTAGCTCATTCTATCCTATTAGTGGCGTTCATCCCAACTCCATTCTTTTACAGGTAAATAATCACTTTCTATTCATTTTCATTTTTAATCTTAACCTGGATAATCTTACACATCATCACAATCCCCCGATTATTAATTCTGGTTGTATTTCCTCATTTTATAGGTATTTTCCTTTGACACACTTTCATGAAAATTAGTCATTGTCGGAAAATAAATGTATTTTTTATAGAATCTCCATCCAAAAGGGACAATTTACAGTACTCAGTGTCCTTTTTATTAAACATCAAGAATAATATTTATTTTGCAGTTTTATTCTTGACATATTCTAAATCAAAGATGGCCGATTCCCAGAACGTTTCGGCAGGAATGAATGCTTATTTTTGCATATTCATGAGTTTGTACTTTCTTCTTGTAATAATTGGAATAATTTTACGCAGTAGTTTTGCTCTAAACGTCTTGGTTGAATGCCATTATTTTATAAAAATCTTTTAAAGTTTTCGTTTTCCAGAGACGTCCTATTAATGGCAATTACCTCGTCTCCGTTGTTTTACTTTTGGATGCAGTGATTCAATAGTTATTGAAAACGATCTTTTGATTTGAGAGAGCCGCACTTGAGTCATTGATAACGGTATTTGTTGTTGCTGCTACTGCAGTGTTACTGCTAACCAAATACCCACTGCCGTCAATATGCGTGGAAGCAATAAGCTACTTGCAAGTTAAATTTGAGTAAAATCTGGTCCCCTGCGTTATCTGATTGCATCTATTACAAAGGTAACAATTAGAATTCCCCAGACTAAAGCCACTGTTGCTCTACCTCGTGATTCGGGGCAAGCTTTTGCTTAGCGACCACCATCTCTGGAATGGACTGGTTCCTTTGTGCCGTTCTTGTCCATTGAGAAGAGTGTATTGTTGCAAGGCGTCTCTAATGTAACTAAGGAAAAGCTTGCCCCGAATCACGAGGTATAGCAACAGTGGCTTTAGTATGGAAAAGTCCAATTGTTATGCTCACGTGAATTTAAAGAACTCAGTGTACCAGATTTTATTCAAATTTAACTCGCAAAAGGCTTATTGTCATGTAGGCCTATTAGCGCATTGTCTGCTATGGGTGGCAGACCAAAAAGCGAGCGTTTTCCTTGAGAAAAGCAAATCTAAATTAACGCTACAAGTTTGGGATGAGATTACATAACTCTCCAAAAGTCGTCTGAAACAAAAAGACAAATATGCAGTGCCCAATAAACCAAGGGCATCCCTGTAGTGGTATTCTTTTTCCTTATCTACGTCTACCCAGGCCACTTCACATTTGAACCGTCGGGGGCCTGTAACTGAAAGTCGCTATATACCGAATCATCGATTTACCGAATATTTTGTGTAGGCCTAGACCTCATCGAATTCCTTAAAGTGGCGTTCCACTGCACACTTAACAAGTCAGTTCGACAAGACCATTTTGCTTTCTCTTATGCCTGTGATCACATGATGCTGCTGAAGTTGTAAAGTAATTTAGGTGTCTATTATAATGAATTACCAGCACGCTTCCTAATGTGGCATTTTACTTTAAAAGCCTCGTTTATCGACACGGTGTGGATGGTCGGATCAGGTACATGGGACTTCTGTCCCTGCAACTTGCTCGTACTGATTCTATTTGTTGTGCTGCTCTTGCTATTCTGAGACTGTTGTTGCACCTAGCTGTAGGCCCTAGTTGGTTTGGACTCTGGAGATGACCACTCCTGTGATTTGCCATCCTGATTTTGTGTGGTCGCCTTGAAACATAGAAAACAAAACATGTGTCTTAATCAATTACATAGATTTCACTTCCAGGTCTCAGGACATAGATTTCGTGAAACTTGGAGAGATTTTAGCGTAAAGGTTTATAAGATGCTTGTATTTTGCCAAGGTGGATACTCTCTACGTCTTACACAAATACCTTAAAAAAACAGGGGCCAACTTCGCGCCTAGGTCGTTTTGTTCAGTTTGATTGCACGGCTACCTAGTAGCACGCAGCGAGCTAGTGACCTTGCTATAGTATAGCGTGTGGGCTAAATAACGGACGAGCAGACATGCTACTTTGGATTCGATGCTTTTTTTACTCAGTTGAGCTACATGGGAGTATAAAATTTACCATATTCTCTCATCCCATTGAAGGTTTTGTAATCAAACAATAAAGCCTTTCCTTTTTTTGACGCCCATTAATCCATTAACGACTGCAGCTTTCAATTTAAAAACACTAAAAATTCTACGTCATATATACTGGTAATTTCGTAGCTTTGGAACGCTACAAATTTGTTTAAAATTTAGTTTTCATCAGAATTGGTGCATTTTGTTGTTTTAAATTGTAGCTACATACAGGGCTATTCAGACATTAACTGTATTGGCTCTCTCAAAAAAATGATTGCTTGTCTTTTCACTGCGCTTGCTGCACTGTACCTCGATGAATATTATTATTACGAGTGCCTACGAAAATTGTTAATACTGAACTTTCACATAAAAACATTCATTAATATTTGAATCCCTCATGGAGTTTCTTGCAGTCCACCATATGGTATGGTGAATGCAGCTGGCGTTTAACAGAAATGGCGACCATTTCTAAGTAAAACCACAATTTGATCCCAAAAATGCCAAGGACCTATGGCCACCTGTTGCTGGCTCTAGAAATACATACAGACCGGAAAAAACATTCATTGCTTGAAAAAAAAGTAAATTTAGATTACCGCGTATTGACTTCATTCTGCTTAAATCAGTTTTGTTAATTAAAAAGGGCAACTGACATCCATATAGCAAAAACACCCCTCTCAACTTTGTGAGAGAGAGAGAGGGGAGTTAAAATGTCTGAAGGGAAGGAGGTAATACTTAAACAACACAGCAGGTAGATCGCAAGACACTTAACTGCGTGAAATGGCCGACATCAATCACAACACCACTGGATTTTCAAAAATGATCCGCAAAACACATGATGATGTCCACACTGGAACA